CTCTTTCTTTTGTTGTGTGCAGTACCTACTCATAAAGCTTTTATAAAGGTTTTTTGTTTTGTTTTTGTTTTTTAAAGAGGGATACGATAACCCACTCCTGCCATCAGTCCACATGATTCAGTATTCACAATCTCGCCTGACTCAAAGACCCTGCTTCTAACGAGGGTTACGCTGCTTGTGTTTTCTCGCAGACACTTAGGAAGAAAAATCGCCAACAAAGTAAATTGTGTGATTTAGCTGTCAAGCACATTGAACTGTTGTTGCACACATGATTCTCTGTGACCTGCTTGTACAAGTGGGACAGTAATGGCAAAAAAACATTAACAGATGTTTTTGTGTGTACAAAGAGACATTTGACTAGGCTTATATTGATTGAGTATATTGACAATTAGCTAAAGTGTATGCATTTGAAGACGTCTTTTTTTTATACACAACAGCCTGCAATCTGTAAAATCCTTCCTACGTCTTCTCCCAGCTGACTGTATATCATATTTAGCTTGGTCCGCTGTTACGATCTGCTGCCATTTATTCATTCCCGTGTGCATCAGCAGTGTCTGTGACCCTCATTTTAGCAAACTGCCTAACAGAATGGGGAAAAAGCATGTTAATGACAGCAGCTGCAACATGACAGCTTTATTGACCTTTTAAAGGAAATGTTAAAAGAGAAAGTTACCCATCGGCCCGTATCTCCCACTGGAGCTGATCAGATCCTTTCTCACTGGCTGCTGTCAGTGATCATAAGTTAAAATGAAAATACAGGCTGTCCTTGTAGCAACTTTAACGTTACTGTCACTGGGGCATTTTAAAGGATCTCACAGTCGGGGGTTGTAGCTGTTTTACTTGCACTCAAGTGTCTACAGTTATAATAGTCAACTGTGTGTGTGTGTGTGTGTGTGTGCCTCATCACCGATTATAGCCAAGACAACTTAGTCACTATAATACTGCAGTGTAATCCTTTTAATAATCGCCGCCCAAGCTCAGTGCTCAGTTTTTTAAATCCCACCTCTAATAAACAAGTTAAAGCTGAAGTTAAATGCGTCCAGTTAAAAGTGCAGCAAGCATCCATCTGCCACAGCTGATTTATTGTGTGAACACTGGAAATCCAGGCAGAGTTCCCCTTAAGTCAGCACTCTTGAAATATGCACAAGAGCAGTCCTGGATTTTGGGGATTTTTGCCAGCGAGTTAAACATTATTATTGCCAGTTTTGGCTTTCTTGTAGAGCTGGCACAAGGTTTGAGTTAAGAAAAGGTTTGCGTGACACTTGAGCGTTGTGGTTTTTTTAGGAGAGATTTCCAAATCCTTCTGTGAAGTCTAGCAAGGAGGGAAGAAATCATAGAATTTAGCATTGGCTGAGAGTCGGGTAGAGCCTTGTAATCTGGCAAGTTATGTAGTTCGGTTGCATGTGGGGGTTTTTAAAAGGCTGGACACAGGGCATTTCAGTGTGTGGTTTTGCATTCTCCAGCCTCAGAGAGAAAGTACTTTTGTTCACTCATCCATAGACAGAACCTGGAAGTGGAGAATTATATTCATGCACTTTCAAAACTGCTCCAGTTTCCACTGTGATTCTGCTTTTTTTGTTTAAAAAAAATACAGTTACCTAGTAAATGTTTTTTTATTTTATTATTATTATATAGTTGCATTACGGACTGGCTCATCACCTGCTGTATGTTTCTGACAGTTGAAATGAAATACTTTCCCTCCCCTGCTTGGTAACAGAAAAAAATGAAGCCAAAACTCATCTCAGCAAGGTTTTACTTAATCTGAAAATATAGCACGAGACTGTGGAATTCAAGTTCATTAATGGAAATTATAATTGTTCTGGGAATCACCAGCAGTCAGTGTTCTTCATACAAATAATTAGAGAGGTACAATGATTAAAAGGCTTCTGATACTCCTAGAAACCAGGGGAATCCTTGAACCCCACTCTGCTGTGACACTCAACCTGCGTTTTCCATAATTCATTACTAGAGCCTTTCATTAGCCTCCTATAACTCAACACATGCACAAATGCACGTCGTTTTAGCTAAAATAATGTTGTTTTCAAATATGTAGAAAAATATGAAGAGAAGAAGGCTACAATCATTATTACTTGTTAAATTGAAAAGGATTAATTGGACATTTCTATTCCAGAATAATGGTTTGCAGGACTTGTATGCAATATAGCAAAGGTGGGTCAGTCTGTATGAGTAAATAATTAATAATGAAGTGGCTGATTAAAGCACATGTCCCACGAACTGTTTTATCAGTCATTTTTACTGCAGGTTTTAATTGTGTGGACCTCATAGTAGTTTCATTGCGATAAGCCGGTTATTGCCAGACCATAATGTGGTCGACTAGCTTTGGCCAGAAATGTATCCAAGATGTCAGCTCCTAAATTGTGGACACAGTTTAGGAGCAGTTTGAGAGTTGAGTCCATTTAAAGTAGGCCGTGCATGAACCTGTTTATCACCTTTCACCGTTTGCTGTCACTCTGAGGGAGGGTTTATTGTGCGGTCTTGTCTGCAGCCCTGTGCGTCTCCATAAGGCCTGAGAACAGCGTGCGGTGACAGCTTGGGTGATTACCTGTCCTGTCTCATTGTCTCAGTTGGCCTGCAGCTTGGCCACATCATGCATCAGAAACTGACACACAGTGATTACTATGTCGTTAGCCCTGAGAGTCTGTCGCTCTCTGCACTCATTAATTTGCTCTTCCTCTGAGCACTGGGAGAAATGGACTATCCACGCTGATTTCACTAAACCATGAAATATAAAGCTTCTATGATGACATGTTAGCTAATATTAGATTTCATTGAAGACTAATGTTTGGTTTTTAAAGCACTCGATTCACAACAGAGCGCGAGTCTTTATTCTGTGATTGATGCACTTCACACAGAATAATTCATAGTGTGCATTAGGGCTGGGCGATAGTCCTCAAATCAAAATCACGATTAATAGAATGTTTTACCTCGATTTCAATTAATAAACAGTTATTGTTACACACGCATCATAGTCCTCATAGTTCACTATGTTTGTACTGTATACTCAACTGCAAATGCTAGGATACTTTTTAGCTAATATGATGCACTCCTGGTGGTGGTATTACCTTCGGTCACTAAAGCAATTTTTAGCACAGCTTTCTGCTTTCTGTTTAATGTTGTCTTTATTGATGCCAAAAATGTATCTGAACAACAGACACAGCTTTTTTTTTATTTGGCACAAACGGCTGGAGTTGTTCCAATTGGCTCAATGTTTGACTTTCATTCAATGATGTTTCCGTGTCGCGGACTGAATGGGAAAGAGTCACGTGACAACTCTTTGTAGTATGTTTTAAAGGGGATAGTATATAATGGGGCGAATATTAATAGAGTTTAAAAACAAAGCCAGCAAGATTCCATCAATTTGAGGCTCTGAATGTTGGTTCATTTTCTATTAATTGTCCAGCCCTAGTTTATATTTTAAAAGTCCCCCTTAAAGGCACAGAGACATGGGGAAATGAAAATGCTAATGGTTTTAATTCATGTTTGGCACAGATTTTTCAGTGTTTTTTGTGAGGCGAGTTATAAAAGCAGTTCAACTGTGATAGCCCAAAATGCAAAAAAAGCAGAAAAACATAGTGGCATTTGCAGTAATTGAGCATCATGGTGGTTTTGGATGTAACCCCCTCATTTCATGAAGCATTGCTGGCTGTGAAAAGCTCTACCTAAGTAAAGTGGTGCTTTGAACAGCATTCAGAGCATGATCAGTGTTGAGAAGGCATTATATTGTTTACCGTGGTGAACACTGTTTAGCACGGTAATATTCGATTTGAACAAATGCAACATTTGCGTGGTACCATGGTAATATCAGCAGCAAATGTAACTGGATAAAAAGCATCGATGTGGCTCATGTCATTACTGTTGCGGGTACTTGTTTGAAAAATTACACTAAAGTAGGATTCATCATCTGGAAACGATAAATGTTGGTTTTGTGCTCGTCCCTTTAGTAGAGTTTAGTTTCCCAACACTTCAGCTGTTTCATTCTCAGATAAAATGGTGGACGAACATCCCTAAGATGTAAGCGGTAACTTCACCATCTGCAGCACCGACTTGTTGTAGTTCTCTACATCGTTTTCAGCTCGGAGCAGTAAGTAGATTAGAACAGTTATTTAAAGGATGTACAGCCTTATAATCCAACGTGTCAATTGTTGTTTTGTCTTCTAAGTCTAATAGGATCCAGCATTGGCAGCATATTCCCAAGCACTGAGTGGTTTATGCCCAATTAATAAATGTGCGGTGCTGGCTGCGGCGTGGCATTCCTCCTGCAGTTCAGTGCTAATGATTTGGAGCGCTTTAATGTCGACTGCCTTGAATAAAGAGCGCTAAGCTTGGTGTCACTCCGGCCCTTAAATCACCATCACTCTTCCTCTGTGCCTCTTTCCCACCTACACATTTTTCAGCCTGCAGTTCTCTCTTCCCCTCAGATGTTCTCATCGGCTCCCTCCCTTGCTGTCCTTTTCATTTTCCTTCTCCGTGTCGGCCCACTGTCTCTTCGTTACTGTCACAGAGTGTCAGAACAGGTGGAATCAATTACTGACCCCGAGCAGCCCACTCCTTTGCCACAACTAGCTCTTTAATTGAGGAAATTAATGAGTGATCAGTCTGCGAGATGATTTGGTGTCACGAGCGTCGCTTCGCAGTGTGCGAGGGAGGAAAGCTCGGGGAGGGATTGTTTGGCCGACCTCGTATAACAAATACGGTCCTTTTCAGATTTCCACTTCTGCCTTCCCTGCCTGCTAATCACCACTGAAGCGAGGAAAAACACAGCAGTGCATTGCTAACTGCTGCATCACGCTTTCTGTAACCAAGCTAGCTTTTAAAGTCCACTGAAATACCAGAATGTCCTCGATGCATTCAGCGCTTTGTTCACTTCCTCTCATTGTGGCATCCGCTGGTCTGAGACTCAACATCTGGCCCGTATCTGTTTAGAGAGTGGTTCTGAAGTGTGTTTCTATTTCTCTAAACCTCCACTTCTTCCTTCACAGATGGAATCTCCTGTCTCCACGCCAGCTCCACCCCCCCTCCACCTCCTGGCCACAGTAGGCAACAGTGAGATTGCCTCACCATGCGAGCAGATAATGGTGCGCACACGCTCGGTGGCGGTGAACACATCAGACGTGGCCCTGTCTACCGAACCGGAGTGCTTGGGGCCCTGTGAGCCTGGAACCAGTGTCAATCTTGAAGGCATAGTGTGGCAGGAAACTGAAGACGGTAAGTGGAGCAGTTTAACGTGCTGCTTTGTAAATCTCTTCCCTTTAAAACAAATAAGCTGTGGATTGTGGAGTTAAAGAAAATAGGTAAAAACATATGGGATAGGTTTTCTTTCTTCCTTTTATTTACAAAGCCAGAGCAGCTATGTGTTTGCATATTAACATCAAAGAGCTATTGGTTTTTCAAAGCTTTAGTGAATCTTCTGTCATTTAAAAAAAATCATCTTGCTGTCATTACTGTACATATTTGCCTCCTAAAATGTAATTGGATATGCTCAGACAGCCTCAGGAAATGGTTGTTGTTGGTGGTACTAATGCGTGCTTTACCAGCGCACATGCTGCGTAATATTGCCAAGAAGAATAGTAGTTGGCAGGCAGTTCTTAGGTGGCCTTGATTTCTTTGCTTTTGTTCGGGGGGGGATTTTTCTTTTTTTCTTAGTACGCAGACAGAAGTTTGTTGCACAGAGATATCTGTTCTGCAGCAACATGCCTCAAACACAAAGCACTTTTTCTTTTTTCCTTTGTTTCTTTTTTTTTGTTTTCCGCAAGCCTGCCAGTTGGGAAAATAGTGGGCTCCTTTTCTGCAGTGCAGTCCGAGGGAAATCTTATACACTCTGAGTTTTCCTCCCTTTGATCGAAAACCTCATGCAGCTCATTTAATTTTAAGATGTATCACTATCACACCATCAGGTTCTGCTGGTTCTGAAGAACTGCCCCCCCACCCCCACTTTATTTTTTTTCCTTTTGTGGATGTGAAATAATGCAAACACCTAATCTTCAAAGCAGCTTGCTCTCAGTCTCTCTGCGGGCATGCTGAGTACAAATCGCCCACACATCCACAGAGCTGTTTGTTGGTTCGCTTGGAGGAACCAAACAGGGAAAAAAAGGTCCCTGCCTCATCAACATTCCCAAAGCACAGTCCCTGCTATTGAGTGGCTTTTCTCCCCTCTCTTTCCTCTTTTTTTTTTTTTGATTTTTGCTCTGTACTGCAGCTCTTTTCTGTTACCAAGCATCCAGCCAGTCGCCCCTTGACTCTTGTTTCCAAGCAAACTGAGAGAGAGCGAGTGCAAGGCAAGGGGGTTATGGCAGGGTGGGGGTGGTGGTGCGGCTGCGAGGGGGAGGGGTGGACAAGGCTACTTCTGTTAGTGACACAAACATGGCTCCGAGCCAGCACCAGTACTATGTTTGCGCTCCCTCATTCTCTGCCTCCCACGGAGCGGTTGAGCCTCCCTCTCTCGAGCGCGCACGCCCTGCCCCCTTCCCTTTCCCCAACTGAGCCTGTCCTTTGCCTGCACTCCGCTCTCTCAAAGCTGCTATTTTGGCTGAAAGAGGTAGTGGTTTGGCCTGATGGATCTGTGTTTTCTTCTGACTCTACTCTATCTGGCTCAGTGGGGAGGATGTTGGTGGGAGCTTTGAGTGGTTTTAAAAGCGGCGTGGTGGAGAGTAGCCGGTTGGAGGGCGGTTTGGGCAGACAGCAGGTGTAGCGCACAGGTTGTTGTGGCTATCAGAGCTGTAGACACCAGCAGGTTTTCGAGGCATCAACCCACTTCCTTTGCTTTGAAGCCATTTTTTTTTTATTAAAAAAAGAAAACAAAAAAGTGTAAAGGTAGAAGATCAGGTGAATATAAAGGATAAAGCAACGAGTTTGATAAAAATAGAGTGGCCCTGTAGTTGTCTCTTGCGCACTCTTTTTGGTATTTTAGAAATGTATTACATTCTTTGAAGACAGCAGCTTGTTCACTGCTGACTGACTCGGCCCCAGCTGGTGTGTTTTTAAGAGAGAGCTGCGAGCTGTGGCTGAAATGCGCGCCGTTTCTGAACCTTTGCTTGGTGTTAAATTGATAGATATGCAGTAAACCTTCAGTGTAGCAGAGATAATAGGGGTGAATCTGGGCTGGGTCTTGCAATGAGACATTTCTCAATATCCCCCATTGTACTGTGCACACTACATTAAACGACACAAAGACGCGTGTTGCTTCTACATCATTTTAATGGTACGAGCCACCCCCACCCCCTCGACAGCCCACTGGCTAGTTTTAAAATGAAAGAGACCCAGATGCCGCTTACATCAAACTGCTGTTCAGCTGCGTTTCCCCTAAGAGAACGTGGACTTCTTGCACCGTGTGGCAGCCGAACAAATGAGAACCAAATGAGGGAATCAGGCGAATCCAGGCAGAGTACCAGGGAAGAGGCAACAAAACTGAGGCCCCAAAGACGTAGCAGAGGCATTCTGATTAGCAGTGAAGTTGAGCAGTCTCCCCCCCACCCAACACACACACACACTTCTCTGCATGACAGAGAGCTGTTTAGGCATGCGCTGCGTGTGTGTGTGTGTGTGCATGCATGCGCGCGCATTTCATTTGGCATGCCATCCAACAGCTGCTTCATCACCTCCGCCTTTCTGCCTTGTGGGAGTAAATGAACAACAGGCTCCCAGTAATTGTCTGTGCCTCACCCAAGTCAACATGTGCCAGTGAAAGAAACAGATGAGGAGGAAGCAAGCAACAAAATGTGATTACAGGAGCTGCACCTTTAGGTCAGCGGTGACAAGAATCTTGGCTGATGAGGGCCGGGTAAATTTTTCATCCCGCGTAATGTGAGCTCAGATGTAGCCGGATCTGGATTATGACTGGATCTAAACGGAAACCTTAATGTAACTTGGATTTCAAAGTGACCAAAGTAACCCACTGTGGTTTTAAAAAAGCACCCTTTACTGCATTTAGTCCGGCACAGGATGAAAATAAATGGATAATATGTGATAAAGTGAGTCTGTGTCATGCTGTCAGTTTGGGGGTGAGTGAAGTGTAGACAGGAGGAAGGCAGAAACGCAGAGCCGTGGTATTTTAAGGCCCGGCACTGACACAAATCCCCTCGGCGCAGACGAGGCAGTAGCAGCTCCCAGGGTCGTGTCGGCAGAGCAATGGGCCAACCCCTCCCAGGCTTAGCATGCTGATACCTCCAAATGCCATCTCTAAAATGCTGGAGAAGTTTATTGCTCTTGAAACGCAGCCCAGAATGCCTTGGCTCCTGCCCCAGGGCAGAGGGAACACAGAGGGGGGGGCCCTTTGGCCAAACACCGCAGCTCCATGCCAGTGCCAGTGTGGCATTCAAACACACCAACCCTCCAGTACACAGCAGGCTATTCCCCAAGCTGGTCCCACAGCTTCTTGAGCTGCCTAATAGAGAAATAATACAGGCTGCTTGTGATAAATGTTTGTCTCTTGGATTATTTATGCAGCGCACATGATTGCAGCATTGCAAGCATTGGCTTTAGCACAGAAGTTAAAAGCCGTTTGGCATCTGCATGGAATGGAGGTCAGTGTGAAACGGAGATTTCTGTATAAACATTTGAGAGATGCCTTTTTTCCCCTCTCCTTTATTTCTCCGACCCTGTCAGAGAGTTGAAAAGGGGAATATTGTATGAAAGGAGTACTTGGCTCTATAGTTAACTTGCCAGTTATGCTTCCTTGCTCCTTTGAAGACACCTGTCAGTGGCCTCATTGAAATGTTTTTACAAAGGCGAGCGGTGGCCGCTCTCCGTGAACCCACCTTAGAGGCTGTCCTTGAAATGAGAGCGAACGTTGTCAGGAGGCCTGTAGCTGTCTGCCAGGCCAATGAGCAAGAAGGACACGGAGTGAAAAATCAATCAGAGAAGACCAACTTCTGTTAGCACTAAAGGCTCCTTTCAGAGAAAAGCGTAGAAACGATACTTATTTTTCTTTCTGCAGCCCCCACGCAGTACATTTTCATTTGCCAGTTCCTTAGTCACTTCAGTTTCCAATCCACCCAGCCAATCTTTACCCTCATCAGTGTTCACTGTGCAGTAGTGGAAGTGGCCAATTTCCAGGGGAAAAAGGGAAAGAAAATAACACTCCCATATTTAAAGAATTTGCCAGTTTTCCTAAATATGCTGTTGAAACAACACTCAGGGAACTTTAGCCATCGATGGCTCGTCATTGTCTGACGGAGCAGGCTCGTCTTGTTAGTCGCTAATTTAGTCCCCCGGTGGTGTTAACAAGATGGCGCCCACGTGTGAACCCAAATCTCTAAAGAGAGAGATGCTGGTAACGGCTCCTATTCTTACTGGCTGACAACTGCATTTTTTTAAGCACTTAAAACCGTCTTGAATCGTAAATCGTGTGCCTGGAGGAATTGAGGGCTTCGCCAGTGTCTGTCATAAGATATCATGTTTGCTATATACACATCAAGGAGAACTTGAGTAACACGCCTTTGGCAGGCCCGTATCTTAATCTCAACACCATCTCCTTTAAGGCAAAACACCAGAGGGGTTGTTTTAAGGGTGACTGTTTTTTAATGGTGGCATTTAAGGAAGCTGGGATTGTCTTCATACACATTATTTCCAGTAATAACTGCAGTTGGTAAAGATGTCAATTTTCTCCCTTCCTCTGGCTGTTACAAGCTTTGCTTGTTTGTGATCTGCTCATCTACTCCCTCTGCAAGAGTAAACATGCATAGCTGCTTGGTTTTTCCCCCCCTTCTTAGGGAGGAAGAACCTGCTGCATGTGTCTGATAATGTCTAGCTGTGTGGAAAGCATACTAATGCAACCCTCCCTTGCCTCTCAGTGCTGTGAGAGAATTGACCTTCTCACAGGCTGTTATTCTTGTCTGTCGAGAGCGACTTCTCACTTTTACCTCTCGCGAACCGGAGGCTGAACTTTTCAGAGGACTCACTTGAATTCTCTGAAATCTAAAATAAAATCATCAAACGTAGCCTCGTCTGAACCGCTAGTCATCTGTAACTTTTTCTTCTCAGCTTAATGTCAGCAACTTTTTTTTCTCTCCCTTTTTCTTGTAACAGGGCTTACGACTGCAAAGTTTACAGTGTTCAGTTTCTTCTTTGCCAGGAACTTATTGCACAGAGGATAGTAGAGATGCACAGAATTGACATGAATGTGTTTATGGTGTTTGCTTGTTATGGACAAAATAGCAGATGTAAGAGGGTCAGTTCAACTGTGACTGCCACTGACCCCTCGCATTTCA